ATATGGTCTAAGATTATACAAGTTTCAATACAAATGCATTTGATCAACACTAAGTAAACAAAAATCTTAGAATTATCAGCGAAATCAGTTACTCTAACAAATTTATTACCTTTTGTCAAACACTATAATTAGATTTTCCTTTAACCATACAGATAACCACGCCTATAATTTCATTTTGTGCAGGAAAATTAACTAACTACCTGTTGGCACGTCACTGTAATTATAACAAAGTTAAGGTAATCTCATTTAAATTGCATCGGATCATTAAAAAAGATCTCATAATAATTATTAAATACAAATGATATATAAATGGAAAGAGTAGTATTTTCTAACTGAAAATATTTTACATTTTAATTCATGAGAACATCTAACTGTGTAATCAGTTACTACTAATACTACTAACTCCGACTTGAGCCGCCCTGGAACCACTGTCGGTCCCAAGCCCGGATAAAAGAGGAGGGTTAGGCATGGGGTTAGTGACCCCATCCCGTATAAAACTAACTCGCTAAAAAAACGCTAACCAGAAAAAATTATTCAAATCTTTTAAACTCTGCCCTGGGAGTCAGAAGGTCTTCATTTAGAAGAATTATGACGCCTCATGATGAAAGCCGAATCCCTTCGGAAGTTACGAGGTCGATGCCCCTTCTGACAACCAGAGCGACCATTTATTTAGGTACATGGAATGTTCGTACAATGTGGGACACCGGGAGAGTCTTCCAAATTGCTACAGAAATGAGAAGATACAATCTAAAGGTGCTTGGGATCAGTGAAACACATTGGACGCAAGTTGGACAACAACGACTAACTTCAGGAAAACTCCTGTTATACTCCGGCCATGAAGAAGAAAATACCCCACATACACAAGGAGTTGCATTGATGCTGTCCAAACAAGCGCAAAATGCGCTTATAGGATGGGAATCTCATGGACCAAGGATCATCAAAGCCTCCTTCAAAACGAAGAAAGAGGGCATTTCAATGAACACCATCCAATGCTATGCGCCTACCAACGACTACAATGAAGACGCTAAAGATCAACTCTACAATAGGCTGCAGTCAATCGTCGAGAAGTGCCCAACAAAGGACCTGACCATTCTGATCGGAGATTTCAACGCCAAGGTTGGAACGGACAACACTGGATATGAAGACATCATGGGACGACACGGACTGGAAGAAAGAAACGAAAATGGTGAGAGATTTGCAAATCTATGTGCCTTCAATAAGCTGGTCATAGGCGGCACCATATTCCCACATAAACGCATACACAAAACCACATGGACTTCACCGGATCACTCTACACAAAACCAAATCGACCATATTTGCATCAACAAAACGTTCAGGAGGACTATAGAGGACGTGAGAACCAAGAGAGGAGCTGATATAGAGCATCAGATCATCACTTGCTGGTCGCCAAGATGAAGTTGAAACTCAAGAAGCACTGGACAACGGGGCAGACAGTATCACAAAAGTTCAATACGGCCTTTATTTAGGATACTAACAAACTCAACAAATTCAAGATATTCCTCAGCAACAAGTTCCAGGCCTTTCATGATCTACTCAATGGAGAAGAAACTACTGTGGAGAGCAACTGGAAGGGGATCAAAGAGGCAATCACTTCAACATGTCATGAGGTTCTGGGTCACAAGAAGCATCACCATAAGGAATGGATCATTGTTGATACACTGGATAAGATTCAAGAAAGGAGGAACAATAAGGCAGCAATCAATACAAGTCGAGCAAGAGCAGAAAAAGCCAAGGCACAAGCTGAATACACAGAAGTAAACAAACAAGTGAAGAGGAGCATCAGAAATGACAAACGTAAATATGTGGAGGATTTAGCGACAACGGCGGAAAAGGCTGCAAGAGAAGGAAACATGAGACAATTGTATGACACGACAAAGAAACTCTCTGGAAATCGCCGCAAACCAGAACGACCAGTGAAAAGCAAAGAGAGCGAGGTAATCACCAACATTGAAGAGCAACAAAACAGGTGGGTAGAACACTTCAAAGAACTCTTGAATCGACCAGCTCCACTGAACCCACCCAATATCGAAGCAGCACCCACGGACCTCCCAATCAATGTTGGCCCACCAACAATTGGAGAAATCAGCATGGCCATCAGACAAATCAAGAGTGGCAAAGCAGCAGGACCGGACAACATTCCAACAGAGGCACTAAAAGCAGACGTAGCGGCAACTGCAAGGATACTCCACATTCTCTTCAATAAGATTTGGGATGAGGAACAAGTACCAACACACTGGAAAGAAGGACTTCTGATCAAAATACCGAAGAAAGGCGATCTCAGCAAGTGTGATAACTACAGAGGCATCACTCTTCTCTCAATACCGGGAAAAGTCTTCAACAGGGTATTGTTAAACAGGATGAAGGACTGCGTAGACGTCCAACTTCGTGACCAACAGGCAGGATTCCGTAAGGATAGATCATGTACAGACCAAATCACAACACTACGGATCATTGCGGAACAATCAATTAATGGAATTCATCACTCTACATCAACTTCATTGACTACGAAAAGGCATTTGATAGCGTGGACAGAACAACACTATGGAAACTCCTTCGACACTACGGCGTGCCTCATAAGATAGTCAATATCATACAGAACTCATATGCTGGATTACACTGCAAAGTCGTGTATGGAGGACAGTTGAAAAAGTCGTTCGAAGTGAAGACCGGTGTTAGGCAAGGTTGCTTACTCTCACCCTTTCTCTTTCCCCTGGTGATCGACTGGATCATGAAGACATCAACGTCTGAAGGGAAGCACGGGATACAATGGACATCTAAGATGCAGTTGGATGATCTAGACTTCGCAGATGATCTGGCCCTTCTATCCCAAACGAAACAACAGATGCAGGAGAAGACGAACAGTGTGGCAGCAGCCTCAGCAGCAGTAAGTCTCAACATACACAAAGGGAAAAGCAAGATTCTCCGATACAACACAGCATGCACCAATCCAATCACACTTGACGGAGAAGATTTGGAAGATGTAAAAACCTTTACATATTTGGGCAACATCATTGATGAACACGGTGGATCCGATGCAGATGTGAATGCACGGATCAGCAAAGCAAGAACAGCGTATTTACAACTGAAGAATATCTTAAACTCAAAACAACTGTCAACCAACACCAAGGTCAGAATGTCCAATACAAATGTCAAAACAGTTCTACTGTATGGGGTGGAAACCTGGAGAACTACGAAAGCCATCATCCAGAAGATACAAGTGTTTATTAACAGTTGTCTACGTAAAATACTTCGGATCCATTGGCCAGACACTATCAGCAACAACCTGTTGTGGGAGAGAACAAACCAGATCCCAGTGGAGGAAGAAATCAGAAGGAAGCTCTGGAAATGGATGAGACGCACATTGAGAAAAGCACACAACTGCGTCACAAGACAAGCCCTCACATGGAATCTTGAGGGCCAAAGGAGGAGAGGAAGACCAAAGAACACACTACCCAGAGAAATATAGACAGACATAAGAAAGACGAACAAAAATTGGATAGAACTAGATAGGAAGGCGCAGGACAGAGTTGGTTGGAGAATATTAGTCGCCAGCCTATGCTCCATTGGGAGTAACAGGCGTAAGTATGTAAGTAACTAAGTAACTACTACTATTACTAATACTACAACTACTACTATAAACTCGTAGTGTTAAAAGTGTTTATTATTAAAAACAGAAATCTTCCACAGAAGATAAGTTGTATGCACACTAAATTAATTCGGCCATCTTCTTCAAGGATTGCAAATGAATACGTGTTTGACATGCTGTATAACTTAAATTTTTAGTTTGAAACTACATTCTACGTTCTTTTTCATTTTTGAAAAAATAGTTAGCAACATAAACTAACCTTTTACTACACATGGATTCATTAAAATTTTGAATTTCTAATTAACATCAGGGATTAATCTTAATTAAACAAACACTATAAACTTGAAAGCACGGGGAAGTTAAGCTGTCCTGTTAAGACTTTCAAGCAGTGAGCTATCACGACCCCATTGGGGACCGAATCTAGACGGATACCCCATGCTACCATAAGTTGTTTGCTTAATATCTTTAGTTGATCCCTCTTGAACAAATAAACCATTGGATCCCGACTCAGTGATCTAAAGATCAGCCTCTCGCCACAAGATATGATTATCTTGGGTTAAATTTTTAATGAGTTCGTGGATTCCCACTACTGAAGCGTCCTAAACTAGAATGAGGCAGCTCTATAGCGCTTTCTAGTTTATAACAGTTGTTCAACCAACATCAGATCTTTTTGTTAACTATAAATTGAACTACATGACATGGTGAACTATTTACTAACAAGGAATCAGCAAACTAAGTTGTGTAATCTGTAAGATGATTATTGTGAAGAACTTTTCATTCAAAGTAGAAAATAATCCAAATTATCCTAAGAAGGAATTTATTGAAATTTATGAATGCCAACATTTGCAGATTAACAATTATCTGATGACACTCTCTTGTAAGAAATCAATTTAACAATGTGTGACTGACAAACTGAACCACTCAAATGGATATTTGTTTCTTCGTTTGTTAATTTAGCGAAAAGGAACAAGTTACTATGATGTCGCTTTAGAAACTATTCAGCACAAAATTTATAAGCATGATCGATTAGTTCACGCTTTTAATTAAAGTTAAATATTTATCAACGTATTTCTTTTATCTTGAGAATAACGGTTGTCATTACTGATAAGGAGAACGTGATAGCCGAAACAATCAAATATTTGTTTTCTACCTTTTTCATGAGATGTTTATTGTTTTCAAAGAAATTTCGTTTTTACTCGTGTATTCAGTTACTTGGTATATATTAATATACCTGTTGTGACTGTGACTGCAGATTAGACGGCAGCGACTTATCGATCGAATCAATGACACGTAAAACCGCATGAGCAGTCTAGAGTTCTGATTGGCCCTGCTTCTCTGTCTAGCCCAGCCACTTGAGTCCAGAACACAAGTCTCAGCCTCTGAGATATGAATCATTATATTTCAAGCATACTGAGTTTATATACCAATCAAACCGACCACAACGTACCAGTAAAATATGAAACAATATTTGTACAAGAATTAGCCAGATGTGGCTGTGAATGAGGGAGGTAGCGATTAACAGACAAGGAATAATTCATGAATGGTAAATCGTATATTCATAGTTCATAGGTCAAAATAAAGCTCATAATAAGAGGGGGATGAAAATGAACAGTTTAGTTACATAACAATCATACGACAAAAATGTACTCATAATATTGGTCCATAAATGGATCCCGAAAATTACCGTTCATTTATTCTTATCGGGATACAACAATACCAAAAATATTGATCAGTAGTTAGTTCAAACCAAAATATACAAAATAAAATATATCATTAGTGCATTCCTTGAATAATTTCAGAGACCTGACAAATTCAGTCAAAACAATTGAGTTTTGTTAAGCAATAGTAATATAATAAGTAGACAATAACATATATACATCACATACTCAATAGTATCTTAGACATCTAGACTTGACTAGATAAACTAAAAGACTAAAAAACTAGAGACTTTCTGTTGTTAATAATCGTAAGCCATAATTGAATTATGTGGCTTCCTACCTCATTCCTTTCAGCTTTTCCATAAGCTATAAATCTGACCATCCATCACACAAGAAGTTTCTTAAACAAAAAAGCCTCTTTTCAATTGATCGATAGATCCGAGTTAAATAAAATCCGAAAGTTATATTCCGATCACCGAATTTATTACTAAGACGAAAACTCCACCGATTGAGGAACAATGATGATTATATTAAACATACTGGACTTTGTCGGTCACTTAAGACAACAACAGAATTTTGATTTTCCTTATTAAATAATTAACAATGATCTTTGAACTAAATGATGTTTATAAGCTGTTGTAATCCCATAAAATAGAATACATGAAAACTATCTCAACCCTAATGTAATTGGTTTACTTCATGTATTGAAGTTAGCTAGATAACTATTGAAAATCGTGGACCACCAAACATCAATTTCTTCCTGTCTTGAGACTTCCTAACAACTTTCATCCACGAACTCAAAAGGGATCTAACCAAATGTCTTCAAGTCTCGTTGAGAATGCTTAAACTTCGAACTAATAAGCTGAATTCCAATGACTTTTTTTTCTAACTTCAATCAATCATCACAATTACAACTAGTAAACATTCAAAGATGTCATTTCACTGAAAGTAGAATCATGAATATACAATCTATTCCGTTTTTCAAAATATATGCTCAGGTTATCATAGTAAATGTAAATTATTGTTATTTTAGCTTATATAATCAAGAAAGTATCAATTTGAATAGCTTTTGCTTTCATAATTACAATAGAATTGACAACAAATACACAAATATAAATACATTTATTTGATCTTCAAAGTTGTGAACTTCTGTGAAATAGAGAGTACGTTTCAGTATAATCATACATATGATATTACTGAATACATTATATTTAACATTGTTATTGTAATTTCCGTCTGAATCGAAAATATAAATGATGATCCTCCATTGGTTTTATTTCTTTAATAGACTAGAATAAAAAGGAAAAAATGATAGAAGAAGAAAACATATTTTGTCATTATATCTGTTTATTAATTCAATTAAATTACTTTTTAAATGTCAGTCAGTCAGTCAGCTACAACATAGGACCAGGCACATATGTACATCAGTCCAAGTTGCTATACCGCATTAGTACAACAAGATGAACGCCGAATTCATAAAAATAGTTAATTCAGTGGCGGTAATATATAAAAGAAAAATTGCATATAAGGAAATAGTACAGGAAGAAAGAATTAGTTCGTAGAAAGAAAGATATGAAGCAATTTTAATTTCACGGTTTAAGGAAAGACAAAGAGTGTATACGCCTACGTGGTTGTGATCGATTCTGAGCCATGTCACTCAGAGTCTCCAACCATTGGTTACGATAGTCACGCAGACCCCTAACCAAGTAGTCTGCATCTACCAACATGGATCAGACTAGAAGTTAGTGACTTCAAGCATTGATGCCACGTTTTGGTTTGGCCGCCTCGAACCTTCTTCCAACCATACCCTACACTAGTCATGGTAATCGGTGTACAGACATACGCAACACATCGTATGGATTGAAAATTCATTGATGTATATAACAAAATTCTAATTATATTCTAATTACAGAATTGAAAATAAAAAAGCCTCAGGTTTTAGTCCAAACATGATAGAAACAAGAGTCATAGATACACTAATGTCTTTTTAAATAGTTTGGATTTCTACTGATCATCAGCAAAAACTGCTTATTGTGTACTACAGTAATAAACACGGTTATAAATCACTATAATCAATAATGTGTTTAACTAGTCACCCAATTACTTAAGTAGGCTCCGAATCCCTGTGGATCTGCACTTTGCCTGTTCTCTGGTCATACCAACTCTGATATTTTTCATCGAAACAAAACACCTCCTACGCAAGCTTCATTAGTTCCCAAAGCTACAAATGAGATACCTTATTCATTATCCTTAGATGCGATGAAGCGAACTTCTATCTCACCAAAATAGATCTGATGTTTACATCAGTTTTTATACGACGAGTTAGATGAATGGTCTCTGCTTCTATAACGTAGTTGTTCTGTACAGTGTTTCAGATATCGTCAAACACTTTTTAAACCCTCGAAGAGTATACCATGTAAATAAGAAAACCGAGAATGCATGGAAATTTGTACCGCCCAAAAGGGGATACTAATACGTACAACTCTTTCAAATTCATTTGTAAAAAATGACCCAGACAGAAATACGCAGGTCATAACCATGGCGATATGAATAATGCTTTGCAATGGACTGCCTATATTTACATTCCTCACTCACCACCTGATCATGCAACAACACATGGTCTGTCCAGCACTGTCCAGAATATAGGATATCATACTTCCTGTAAGTAGGCAAAACAACTGTAAAATCATTCCCGTATCACCTTTCTCACGCTATATAAAATTAAACTTCTCCATTCCCATTCTCACCTATGTGCCTGCTATTATTAGCTTAGCAATTTCAAAAATCCAGAAGATAAAATAAACCAGTTTGCAAGGAGCTAAGAATTTCCGCAATACCTCATTTTATAAGTCACGTTCACGTAAACTCACTTACAACCGTTTGTTGTTTTCTTACCTATTATCAACAGTCTGTTGAATTTCACCAGCATTTACTCCATTCTTAAGCTTATCATTTGTTAGCTCCACCTTTGAAATGTACTTGAAGAACGCAGTTCTTCTATGGAGCAAAGCCATTACCTATTGCAAATACCCAATGGCCAATGTTCGCCCTACTTCTTCAAGATAGATATGTTTCGCACATAAACCAACAGTAAGTTTCCTTAGTTTTATTATTATTTGATAAACATAATGTGTTGTTTAGAAAAAGAAGGGTGTAGTACTATCAACAGATAGGTGAACATCAAGTTATAAGATGTATCAATTTTTACTAGGTATGGTGGTGATACTCTGGTTGTGATAGATTTATTGAACAATCTATACAACTCTACAAAGTCACGACTTTCTGGCGAAATCCCTTTGTATTTTCCAGAGAAACACAAATATCCATATATCTTAGTTTAATGAAAAAATAGAAAAAGTTTTAATCGAGATCATGAACCTATCAATGTTATACCACGCTTAAAAACCTGGAAGCACTGAATGGCCATTCCGTCCTACTATGGGACTCGTGAACAGCGTGCATACACAATCCCGTATGTGGGGCTCGAACCCAGGACCTTGTGTCTTATGCACAAACGCTTAACCTTTAGACCACTGAGTCGGCATCCAACTATGATAATGTCTAACTTCCGTGTTACCTGTAAGGCAGTTACCCAATGAAGACAATAGAAAATGGTCGCTGGATTGGTTGAGGTTGGACATTAGCACCGCTGCATGCCGACTCAGTGGTCTGGAGGTTAAGCGTTCGCACGCGTGACCCAACGTCCCAGGTCCGAGTCTTACGTACGGGATCGTGGATACACATTGCCCACGAGTCCCATACGAGGGGAAAAAGGACATTCAGTACTTCCAGGCTTTTAATCGTGGTCTACACATTGATCAGTTATTAACCTGAATAAAAACTCAATAATCTCCACAACCGTTTACTAAAAATAAATTTTAATTTTGGTTTTGCTATAGATGAATTATCGATGAATGATTATTTAAAAATATCTTAACGTCGTAGTCAACATATCAACTGAAGAACTAGCTAATAAACAGGTTTTCATTTTCTCAGATAGTGAAATATCCTGAACAACCAACTCTTTTCTTAAGAATACACACACATTTTTCATCATCAACTTGTCCTTAAATAAAATTGTAACAAAAAAGTAAGGCTTCATAAGTAAGTCAGTTAGAATAAAATACATGCCCTACATAACTGAACTCACCTCGAAACCAAGATCACAAGCCATTTGTTTAACATTTTCGCAATACGCTTTGATTTGTTCAGACCTAACCTCCACTATATACCTTCAAATGTGTAGAAGAATATTAAGAAATCAAGTTAATAAAGAAATTTTAGGTTAAAATTTAGTACAGTAAAATGTTGTTGTAGTAAATAAACAGCAGTTTACTCGAATATCGGCTTAGAATCTTTCACAAGAATATATCATGTTAAATTTTCATAATTAACGATGATACTTGGACATTATTAAATGGTATCAAACTGAAAATTCATGGTTTACAGGGTTAAAAGCTATGGCTCCCAACAACTGAGTTCTGTCAGCCTGTAGTCTACCTGGAAGTTCGAATCTGAGATACGCAGCTCGTACTAACAGACAGTGACATGCCAATCTAATTGTATAGGGGTTTTCTCGTTTCAAACATCTCATGATCTAACTCAACTTGGGTTGACTTTGTTCTCCTCACCATTTGAAGCGTGTAGAGTTTGGTTTCAGTTTTACGGGGAATATAAAACAAAACTTGTTAATATGATGTTCATTACTAGAATCACAAATAAGAACCTCCTCAAAGATAAACAAATGAATAAATACAGCTTTAAAGAGAGAAAGATGAATAACTTCAAATGAGCGTATATTGATTCCACTATCCACATACACACATTAAATATGTAGAGAGATAGATGTAATCAAAGAAGAATATTACTGAAAGAAACCATAATTTAAACAGTGTACTATCATGTGAATAAAATAAAACAATGTTATTTATGAATAAGACTGTCAAACTCACAGAATAGATTCTACAATTAGCAATGCTTCATCTTCCAAAAGATCAGTGAATGAAACATTGAATGTATCAGTATTAAATAAATCATTTTCTAAAGTGCTTTCATTGGATATAACTTTCTTGTCCTCTAATTTATCATTACATTCTTCTGCATCTAGATTACTATTCAATTTGGAATGTAATCCATTGTCTTTTTTACTTTCTCTTTTATGCAGATCAGATAATAAGTGAACTAAACTGTTACCGATGTAAATTATTCGGAAACGATTGTTTAATGATGATGAGTTATTGTCGTTACTTTTGAGAAATAAAGATCGGTATCTTATAGATAAGTCTAAAAAGCTGTTACATGGAAGAAATTTAACTTTGAATGTGTTTGCAATATCCAATGGAACTGAAATAAAAAAGACAGAACAGAAAAAATAATCTAGTCACCAACTGACTTTTAAATTTAGTCAACTTGTGAATAATTATCTCTCCTTCTTCAGTTTTTGTTTTTAAAACTAATGAGTAACAGTTCATAAGTCCATCTCGAAAGCAACTATACTTACGACTAAGGTAAGTTAAATAAAATAACATTCGTAAAGCCAGAACAAATATTGATGCAGAATAATATGAATTCATTATATTTCGTGTTTTCTCGTCAGCTGCTTACAACCAAATATGTATTGGAATTTTACATTGAGATAAGAAACAGCATGAAACAATTGAATGGAAAGCATTGGAATGACAAAGGTTATCAAAGATAATTATATAAATACATCAATGTCCAAGAACAGGTCAGAGATTATTTGGTGTTAGAATCAAGGAAACATTAAGGATGGGTGGTGTAATAGTTGAGTGGAGCTCAGATACAGATAAGATTAACTGTGTGATAATTTTAGAGGTAATGAAGGATTCATGAAATTAAAAACTGATAAAATGAGTTACGTAATAATTGAATAGAATTTGAAGAGTTCACATAATTAAGAGAATCAAGTGAGCGGAAATATGTGAGTGAAAGGTCGGTTTAAGAGGAATATAACACAAACTAAATGTTGACAAAATAAAACAAATAACCAAAAACAAAAAAATTGGATTACCAGGGTAGTAATAATTTTATTACTATCTCTTTTTAAATACATAGATCCGGTTTGAGTTTTTTTATCTCAATCGCTTCAACAAAATGGAGAGAAGCTGTATTTCTTTGTCTGCTAATAATTTTAAAAGCATAATGGATGTCATTGGTATGCCCGTTGTCAAGTAAATGCCGAGCTATTGCACTGTTGAGGGCCTTAGTCCCTTGCAGCCTCAATTTCTTCGGAACATGCTCAGAAATGCGAACATGTACTCTTCTCTCGGTTTTTCTAATGTATGTGCTTTGGCACGTACATGTAAACTGGTGAATACAGTTGGAGCTACTGAGAAAAGAGGACTTGTCGATTTGAGTTTGTTTAAGTGAGCAGCTCGTTTCCCATACGGTTGTCAGTTTCGCTGCTGGCTAGGTCACTTTCAACGCGGAACCCAACCCAAGGGTTGGGTTTGGCATATTTATGGATGAATTTCGCCGGATATGCATTTTCACGTGGGCAATTAGTGATGAGAGCAATTTCTTCTTCCAGGTATTCCTTTGAGCGAATTTTACGTGGGCGGTCAAATAGGGTTCGTACAATACCCTTTTAGTAACTCATTGGACAGAAACTGTAGTAATTGAGATATACTCCACTCCATGTATTTTTGCGATGAATGTGTCTGTAATGTGCCATCTGATGTTCGTCTGATTCCAATATCTAGGAAGTGGAATTTACCTTGAACTTCATGTTTCATAGTAAATTCCATATCCTCGTGTGCTTTATTAAACAGATTGAGTAGGTTCATGGAGTGCTTGTGATTGTTGCAGACGAGAAATGTGTCATCTACAGTAGTGTAGTACCATCATTTGCATGCTTAAGCTTCTGTTCCAGGTTTCCCATAAATACGTCCGCCAGAATTGGGCCCAAAGGTCTACCCATGGCTACTCCATCAATTTGGCAGTACAGCACATTGATAAGTCAATGATTGACCATCATTATTTATATTCCCGGATTTAGAATGTATAAAACGAATTACCAAGAATAAAATCAATATTTTATGCTTACAAATTCATTCTCTGTTGATTAAATTTAAGGTTAGAAATATTGACGGATTAGTTCCTGTAACTGAATACTTAGCTTGAAACAAGGGAAACAATCATTGAGACTGATTTGAATTACTAATAGAATATGAAGTTCCAAATACATTTTCATAGTGAATAACAGAATAGAGATAAACAATATTTAAGCATCCTATCAACTGATTTTAAAACATTTTAATTGCTAAGGATATAAGAAACAATGAACCGTCAATATAGATGTGCTTCTACTTCGGGTCATTTAATATTAGATCAATTAAAATATTTAAAAATAGATTTGTATTTTTACTGGGTTGTACTCTTTGAATAGCATCTTCAAACCCTAATGTTTCCGATTACAGCTTATACTTTCACCACCTCCACCACTATGGAATTTGGATTGACAATTGTATCTCTGTGCTAATGTGGTATGACAACTTCAACTGATGTACGTACATACGTACAAAGTTCTACGTTGTTGCTGACTGACTGATGTTAGTTACTCTATTTAATTCCTAAATAAATAAAAATAATTTTTCATTAACAAAACAGTCAAATTTAACGATAATAGATAATATTTCAATAATATTATTACCGTATTCTGTATTGTCAAATTGTTTTGTTAAAGAATCTTTATTAGGATGTTCTGGCTCTTCATTCGACTTGGCTTGAGTTGATGTTTTTTCTTCTTCTTCTTCTTCTTTTAGTTTTTCTGCTATAAAAACACAGCATAAATGTAACTGAAGAAACTCAAAAGTGATGATATAAACAATTTCTATAGGATAAAATGTTTTAACTATATTTCTGTCTCTTATTCAATGAACTGTTCAGTCGAATTGAATTATGTATTCATTTGTGCGTTGTTAGTTTTTTTCATTCCTTCTTATAATTCCCGTGATCAAAATAACAATGAAAATACAGTAGACTATCACAAACGGTCTTTTGTAGTCCCCGTAAAAAAATATACTTGATTCCACGAGCTGTATGAGGATAACACGAAGAATATCAAATAATTTTCAGAATCAAAGTCTACGATCTTATTCAGTCAACAGTAACTTGTTGAAGTAGACTCAGTCTACCAGCTAACAAGAATAATGACGAAAAACTAAAAGTTCCAAGAATAGATCACACATCATAATCGCATTTCGCGTGTGCCAATTTGTGTTCTGAGTTCATTTTCGTGATGAAAGAATCAGTTATAGCTATCTCCCAAATAACAGAACACTGCCACCTCAAATATCTAATTAATGAAAAGATTACATAGTACATATACACACGAAAGTACTTGGTTTTCTATAAGTGAAATCGTCCAAAATACCAACTTAGTATTTTGAAAACATTTTTAATAGCCTATCTCAGCACCTAGCATTATTTGCTGGGAAATTGAGAATGAATTAGTTATTTACTGGTTACACTGGATGGAAGATCAACCAAACTTTCTAATTGACTAACACTTGGAAATATAAATATTAGAATTCCGACTTAGATCCTGATTCCGATCCATTTACTGAACAAAATAACTTCTTTCTAATGTCCCATCTTTCTCCAGCTGATAACGGTGATTGGTAAAGTTATCGCCAAAAGTGAAGTTCCAGAGAACTGATATATTGTTAAAAAAAAAAATCAATATACATTTTTATCCAGTTAAATTCTAAAAAGATTTTACATTTACTTACACTTCATAAGTATGCAGTCATCAGAATTACTATTTTCAACATTCGTATTCTGTTTACTATCGTCTGTGTCATTCTCTACTGTGGGATCATTTTGTGAACTAACTTCTTCGTCAGGGAAACTGATATTATCATTTGTTGTTGATGGATCCAAAAATGGAACGGATATATGTAATGGGCAGTCTTTTTGATTTTCTAATTCCCAGAACATTTTACGGATATTCACTTCAGATATTGTTGATGCCGCATATGCATGCTTCCCATTAACAAGACGATTTAATTCACTACATTCAGATGTATCTATGCCAAACACCAAATATGGTGAGCAGATTATGTCACCCCAATACCCCCAGTAAACTCCTTTATCACCAGCTGAATTCCTGAAAACTCTTCCAGAAGCTAAACTTCTATTTGGAACATTGTAATTGGCTTCCCGAAGTTCAAATGCCATCCCATACTGACGCCAATGAGCATATTCTTTAGAGTTTATTTGAGTAGCCTTGACAAAAATAACACAAAAAATATTTTTCATGAGTCTCTATTTCGTAAAGTGGATATGATTACAATAAGAATTATGAGACACCACTTTTCCTTTCAAATGTCAGCAGTAAGAAAATTGATAACAATAGTGTAAATGTAGTACTTCATTGTAAACATTCTAATAGACAGCGTTTTACTCGTTAAGTATTCACACGAAATATGGAGATTATATGATAAGGAAAGTACATTCGTACATCTGTCCTTAGAAGAATACTGTTAACTAGATGATGATAATAGTTAACCATAGTTTTCTATCATTGAACTTTCGAGGTCAAATGGATGCCATACTGTTACATCGAAAACATCAATGAAATGTCGTGTTAAAAATGTGAATTCCCAGAGTTAACCAGATAATTAACTAAGTAGTCTATGCAGATTATCTTTGTAATGGACTAATATCAACTAGAGGACTATTTACAAACCATGAAATTATTTAAGTGTAATTTATAGTTTTACAATCTCACACCTGATATTACTAGGAAACTTTACTTCTCATGTAGATCATACTACTTATTAACTTGTATTTTGGAAATGAAATAAACCAGATAACTAACTTTCATACATAAGCTAATCAGAATAAATATAGCGAAAATGACAGAAAACAATAGATAGCTGTTCAATTTAACTGTACGGCTTCTTAATAGCTTATACTTTTAAGTCTCTATAGAGTTGAGCGAAGAGCAAACATTGAACTCATAGTCACTCTCCAAAAACGATGAATAATTATCTTAGAATTTCATGGGGAAGAATAAATCAAACTGTTACTTGGTCTCAACACTTTATTACAACAAAACAATCTGGAATGCTTTGGTTGTAGACGTACATCTTCTAATGCCTTTAGAAGTTAGCATAAGAAAGTTTCCTTTGCATAAAATTTGAAATCGAGAAAAAGTTGATCGTATAAGCCACCACAAAAAATGTTGTCAAATACTTTGAACTAAACATTTAGAATACTTTTTACTGGGTATACACTAAATAGTTTAGAGAAAAAAAGTATTTGCTAAATATTTCGAAACAGAAATGTAGTTTCTCATTCTTATTTCTGACAGAAACATTTTTGTGCGAGTAAGTGATTGATGAGTAAATTCTAATAGTTATTTCAATTTTTATTGAAACCATGAACCGACCAATGTGTAGACCACAAATGAGGAACTGGAAACACTGGACAGACGTTCTGTTCTAGCACGGGACTACCCATGAATGAGCTCTGCTGAGAAGTCCCATACTACAATGAGATGGGTGTTTAATGCTTCCAAGTTTTCACTGGCGCTGTAACTTAAATCAATTCGCCATTTCAACGAAATTAAAAAAATCTCCACATCCCCTTGCCGAACATTTCAATTTTATTATGTTATTATTATGTTAGCAGACTAGAATTACTTACCTTTCGATCGTGTAGAGTTATGCTACAATCCCAGTCGAAAACATTTGGTATAGCATCATAACGAGTACCTAAATGTTTACGTAAACGATAATTCCTATAAAAAAATTTGAAGTCATGTTTGAGTATCAGATTTAGAAGACCATTTAATCTAAAGGCATAAATCTCAATAATAAGTGAGTACACAATTCCATAATAAACGGATAATTTAGAATCAACAGGGTATACGCAAATTGTAAACATCACTTCGGACAAATGATAATAGCAATAGCTCAGTGGGAGAACTTTATCAGCAACTAACCGTGTTGTTTTTAATCATAATCAAAAATGGGATCTGACAGGAGTGAAAGTTTGACTTGAGCTCTCATACTACGAAAGCATAACTAAATAAAATTAACAAGAGGGATAGATCAGTAATCAGAACTATGAAACATCAATCATAATTAGAAGGACTGAACATCAATGTTGTGTTGTGAAAAGACACAACAGGTATGTAGGAAGGAAGTTGGGAAGTGAATGCATATGCACCACTGCGACCGATTTTCAGTCACGTCACACAACGTCTGTAATCACTGATAGCTGTCGTTGCACAGACTTCAACTAAGTAGCTTATTTCTACCAACGGAAGCCAGAATTTCTCAGTGGTATTATTCCCGACTGTTAGACAAAGGGGATTGGATTCAGATCTCGAATAAAGATCATGGATACTTTTTGCTGACGGCCGAGCACTCTGTCTCATACCTTCAACAACTCACAAATCTGTAACTCTGTACTGAATTGAAGAAACCACTACGTACACTTAATTGTAGCCTCTGTTAAATGAATAACAAGCATAAAAACAAATGTTCTAAAATGAGTGATCCTAGCGTCGAAATTAATGAGATTTCGCTGTCACTGTTAATCAGTCACCGAGTTAAGGCTTACGTATAACCAAAAAAATTATTCAACTGTTGGAGTATTTTTTCTAAATGTGCCTATGCATCTGACTCTTCTCGATAAAAACTCGGACATTGAATATTTTAAATAACACACTCATGACAAAACTATGTGATGCTGGGGTTGAAATCAATAAAATATTTGGGAACAGTGACAAAATTATAGTCCTATGAATTACGACGAATAATGTTTTCATAGCTAATAATAATAAACTGTCCTACAAAAAGCATAAGGAGTACGGGTGATACCCAAACACTTGTAATGGAATTAAAATATTCTGTAATGTTACTTGCTCAAACAATTGCCAGAAAACGTTCATAATGTCAACTTAAAAAAGTCTAAATTAATATGAAGTGTATTGATTACTACTTTCTCCCAAGAAAACATTTACATAAATAGTTTGAGAAACAGCTCTAATGAGCATCTAGATCTGTGATATGTTTTATTCAAATTCAACTCATTACTGCTGAAAACAGATGACCTATAACTCATCGTATATTTCGAAGAATGTCACTTATAATCAGTAAGCTAGTTCTACATATTTTGCAAAAGTAATGACTCATAAGAACATCTTCTATAACTGAAAGTCATCAGTATTTTTGCCCATCTGGATCTATACACAATATTTCGTTAAAATCACAACTTTTCAAATATCATAGATAAAGGCTACAGACAACCGAGTTTCCAACTTATAATGACGCAAATGAACTGTTGAATATGATTATAAGCGGTACCCTTATAGAAGACAACTAAAAACAAAAGTTATATAAATGATACATAACCGAAATAAGTGGTTGCATAGACGAAACTGGTGCCAACCACTTTTTATCACAGTTTAAACTACTTTCAACATTCCACATTAATAATTAATTAAATAACACTATTTTCAAACAAACAAAAAGAAAGAACCTATTTTGTAAAACGCAAACAAAACCAATGAATGTTTAAAAACTACCAGTAAGAGCCTAAACGACATTGAACTAAAAAGAAGTTGGTTATTATTTAGCAATCGAATTGTCCCCAATATTTGGCTGAAAAAAATGTTTCAAAACGCGTACCACGAAACCATATGTTGCAGAACTTATATCACTTTATACTTAGTACGACTTCATGAGAGTATTTTAAAAGTCGTATAGTTTCCAACATACTGTCGTCATTAAAAGCACATCAAAACTTGTTTAAAAAGGACCCAAATATCTTAGATATAAAAGGTCTTAGGACAACTAATTTATAAGCGGCGCAACAACTGGTAAGTAGTAATCGGGGTGAATTTTATTTTCCTGAAGAATTACCAACAAGAACCGAAAATAAGAAATAGAATGATTGCGAATCCAGTAGTTGATATCAGCATTTGTGAATCAAAGTCATAAATGATCACTTATAAGCGTATCAGAAAAACAGCCGATGGGTGAAATGTTTATCACTACTAGATAATTTTGATGGAGTTTATAGACAAAAAACAACCATTATAGCTACTGTGCATAATAGCCAGGTCAACCGAAAATAAATATGGTCAATTGCATGCACTGTATGTCTAGTGTGTATTTACTTATTGTGAAACCAGCCCTCTAAATTCACGCCTATTCTCTTCTTGTTGATAAATAATAAATATTCCTCACCTGTTTTTATGGCTGCTTCTTATGTTCTAGACACTTTCATCCTTCTTGTTTACGTCTGCAAACGATAGTGAAGCGTATCAAGCATTAGCTTTAAAATGCCTAAGATCCATACCCATTAGTGATGACTATGTTTCAATACCTAAAGTTAAGGCTAAATTTTTGTTGGCATATGAAAGATATGATCGGTAAATTCTTGCAAATTCAATACAATCCTTTATCTTTTAGCAGAGACAGATGGTAAAAATAACTTCATTGAACAACGGACTATAACATCTCTCAAATTAAAATACCTTATCACATTTAAATAAACTGAATTAAGAAACTACTCTATGACGACGAATCAAAGTGTTTTATTACGTCAGTGAATTAATAATAAAGAGCAGATTGACGTTGTGTATCTAAACAGCACCAAAGACTTTGACAGCATTAATTCCCATCATCTAATGACAAGGCTAACTTGTCACTGTGGTAAAGACATGATTGGACATGTGTTTATTTCCTATAAGTTAAACTTAATTATTGGACTAGATGATTCTTTCCTAACTTTCAATTTGTTAAAAAAGGGTATCGCTTAGTGTTCTTTTCCTAACACATAACAAGATCATATTATTAAAAAAAGCTATTTTTGGATAACTTTGAGTATGAATAAGACAATAAAAACAACATATCACCACAAATTGGTTGATAAACAGCAAAGGGATTGACGTTAGTACTAGTGAAACTAAAAACAATGTAACGACATCGAAGAAGGTGATATACTACCTTATGCTTCGCAAAGAGGGTAAGATATCCCATACTATAAACATACCGGCACGCTACTTATGAATAACGATAGGCTTAGCTAATAGTCATTGATTTTGTCTCTTAAACTGTCTACTACATGGTTAGGTTTATTGATGCAGCAGTGTTTAATAAACCTATTAATTATAAAACTGTTTTATGTCAGACATTTGGAGGGCAAAAAATAAGCATCAATAAAATATATATGAAGTCATCAAAACCTAAGATATGTTATAAAATGACTTCAGTGAAGATAAAACTGCCATATAAAGTTAAACAATCTTATGTACAGAAAGATGGATCGGAACAACCTCATATCTGCCAAAGTGATCAAAATAATAAGGCACTTTTGGCACGTTAGCTGAGATTTAAAAGAAAAATTTGATCAAAAGTTGTGTCGATAACATTCAGAAAAGAGTAGCATAGATTCTTCTGTTACAAATATGAATAATGAAAATCAGTAATCAAGTATTTTAATTTCTTTTTTCTTATGACTTTACTGGTTACAAGGTGAACGACCAAAAACTCTGTAACCTGACAAGGCAATAAGACTACTAATCGTTATGTGTCTCTTCTAAACTGATAACAAAAAGGAACCTACCAACACTTGTCAGCATCAAACTTTGTTTCATCTCTCCCACTCCAAAACTTAAGTGTTGACTCTAGCATATCACGTTCCTTGTATTTCAGATGTGACAAATCAACAAATTCAAATGATGGAAGAGGGCCTAAGTTTGTCACCAACCTGAAAATAGTTAAGTCACTCGGAAAAAAGGTAAACCTCCTCAGATTATTTGCAGCATTGATCAAATATTTAGATGTGACATCTCGAATCATCACGTTCCCAAAGATTTCAAGATACATCTCTACTTTCTCTTTTGAGATTAGACCACAAATTCATATTTTACCCTGCAACCCTATCCTTGTGTAAGGCTCAAGAGCTGTATATAGCTGAAGCATCTGCCGAGCATATGTTTCGTGAAATGGTTCGATCAGGTAAAACTAAGCAACAAATTGATATATCAACAAGGCAAATACTGTTTCAAACTTATTTCTTCCAGAAAACCTTGAAGATAAAGTTCGCAAGATGTGTCTTGAATCGCCCATTCCTACGCAAAGTATGTTAGTATCTAGGTTGTGAATATATTCCCTGTGAAAGTTGATGATTTACTATCGAAATTATCGCCGAAACAAAAACTGTCAAAGCACTTTACAAGATTCATGGCAGGAGTAAGACCCCACCACATGATATTTCCTAAAGTATTCTCAGTACGAGCTACCATAGCAACCAAATCGTTACAGTATTTGGATTTCCGCAGGACGTTAGCAGTGCCCGATATATTTAAAACCAATGGAAACAAAGTGATATCTTCCCATCATATAGTGACACTGAGATACAATTATAGACATTTGATAGCGTTCAGTTAAAGCTATCAATTGATACAACGGTATTGATGAAGTGAGGAGTGATGACAGGATTCATACAATCCAAGTTTAAGTGAATACACTTGTAGCGGTAAATAAATCCCCAAAATAAATAGCACTAATCCAGAATGCTGAGATTGCTGGAAACAGAACGCCTCACTTTCCTGATCACTGATTACATTAAAAACTATAAGATCAAGATAGATGAAGTCTGGAAGACAAAAAACATGTAAACCAGAACCGGTAAATAAACAAATATTTAAATCTACCGTAGATAAATAGTTGATTTCTATTCAAATATCCAAATCATTTTCACGGGCCTTTCCAAAGCTGCCTCTAGGAGGGTACAATAACACTGTGTACTTGAAGTCGAAGCTGTGCGTATGTTTAAAGGAAAATTAGGAACAATTCGGACGTGATTGTCCAAAGTTGTCTACGCATGAAGTGAAGTTGCGTTTGCCTTGACTGCATCCCCTGAGTACTTTGAACTGGTGTCTATGCCTTCTGAGGGTGCAAACCGAGGATCACACTCTGAGGGGATAATTATGGGCTGACTTTCACGGAGACTGTAATTGCTTTCTACCAAATGACACAGAATGTTCGTGACATGACATTTCGAAAGGCTAAGTTTATCCCACTTTCTACTCCCCATTCCCATCTAGTTGTTAGGTCCTTCCAAAGCTCACGTGAATCTTTTTCGTTTTTTATTGGTCTCCATATCTATGCGTTTCCCGCATAGATCAGTGCCACTGAGCTAATTTCATATGGTAAATCGTTAACAAAGCTCTAAAACAGAGGTAGAGGCATTTCGCTCTTTGAAGAACATAAATGTTACGTGGTCACTACATAATATCGATGCGTGAACTTGGACACCGTCAACTAGAAGTTAATCATCTGTCAGTAAATAATGTAAGTTTGAAAGTTTCCCGTTCATCTTCCATCACGTGGAGTCACTTACACTTCCAGTCAGTGCCGGACCTTCAATGACTGTGATAATCAGTTTGCCACACCATTCTGTAGGGGATGTATCCCGCTTGCTGAGATTAAGGTACAGATTGTTGACGCCTCCAGTTAGTGATATTTGGTCAGATCAGAAGTGTGGTAACTTTAGTATTGCTTGCATTGTCTCATCTTTTTGGGTCTTATCACTTGTGTGTGCCGGTCCATTCCTCCAATCAAGTACTTTGTTCCGTTCGCAGCTACGTAACACCGGCATGATTCTACCACCTCGGTTAACTCGCTAATACGTGGCATTGCAGATTTGAAGCGACTGACAATGTGTATTATCACTCCGCCTCCTGTTTTGTGTAGCACATCCCGTCGGAAAAGTGTCATGGTTTACCATATGTATAGTGGGGCTTGTGAACTTCAGATATAACCTTAAACATGTGTTTATGACTCCTGGTTTACCATTTGGGTCTCTTATACTGTTGCAGGGGCACTTGATTATTTGATTCACAACTTGGTGCTCCTCTACATCATCATCCGTCTTCTGAGTTATATGCATAATGTCTTTTGAAGTGGATCGGGCAGTTCTTGGGGGACTATATGCTGTCGATTCTTTTTGCCAGCACGGTATATCCCTTTAGCAGGACCGTGGTCCGTATCCTGCGCCATAGCTTGCTGACGAAAGTTAGCTGACACCAAGATGTGATTTATCAGGCCTTTTTGCCGTTGCCTTGTCAATGTGAGATAGCTTTCACAACACGAGATGTGGCTGGAGAGGATTTTCACCGATTTGAACCAAACCTGGTGGGCCTCAGTAAATTCCTCTGTTATTGTGAATTCCACAGCAATCAGACGCCGAAACTTTACGCCTGTGAAGTGTAACGCACGAGAATGACTAGAAATGTCAATTATTGTAGTTGTGTAAATATTTAGAGAAAAATCAGCTTCGTACTGGCATTACAGTGTTAATCTACGTTCGGCTCACCGATACAAATTTGATATCATAATGTGGCGAACATAACATCCTTCGCCAGTACTGCGCAGTATTAGTCTCGCCGTTCTTTGTCAAGTGCTGCATCATGTCCTAACAGAATAAAATTAGAGAGATTTGTTTGACATTTGTCCCCGTTTTCAGCATTTTGAGAGACATGTTATTGCCATTTTCCTTCCTAGCGTTTATTCAATGCCTCTAACTATTATCCGGAATTTGGTATTAGAACGATCGGCAATAACTAGGATTGCAGCTCCCATAATCACGTGTTTAACTGAGCCTGTGTTTGACGATTTTAATAATAATAATAATAATAATAATTTATTCTCAAATAACAGTTTTAATACACAGGTGTGAAGTTTTGCAGTTGCTACCAGTAGGGTCACATGCTCCTGTTTATTAGGTCATTCACTGTGCCTTGCTTTTCGTTATGACAACGGGAATAGGTTTAGCTTGGCCAGTCGAGCATCATACGGGAGCTCCGCTACTCCAGGAATCAGCTTAGTTGCTGTACTCTGAACCTTTTTCAAAAGCTCACTTTTTCTAAGCAGGAGCTAGTTGCTTGAATGCAGCACTGAAGTTTAAGACGCACGAATACTGCATACGAAGTCGAAAGTCTTGAGCGTCGACATGACTAAAGAACCCGCGTATTGACCATAGGGTTTCAAAACCTTTGGAAACTATTGTAGAGCAGTGTGCAGTAGACCTTAGGTCTTGGCTAGCGATGACTCCTAAGTTATTATGTGCCTGGACAATAGGTAGCTCATTGTTATTCATCACGTATGTATAGGTACCTTGACGACCGAAATACATCACAATACACTCGAAAGTATTCATTGGCAACTGCCAGGTCTGAGACCACTCAGGTAATTTCTTCAGATCATTTTGAAGTTCTAAGCTATCACCCTGACTTCTCGTCGCTCTCCATGTCTTGACATAGTCAGCATGTGGCACGACCTATGGTAATAGCAGACGAGGACGATCAGTTACACAAAGCAGGAATAACACTGGCCACAAGACTGCACCCTGAGGCACTCTACCAAGCACAGTTTCCCAGATAGACAACTTGGAGTTCACCCGTACTCTTTGTTGCCGTCCAACTAGGATGATTTTTATTCACATTATTAGAATGCCACCTACTCCGATATTTCTTAACTTATATAAGAGACAGTTGTGAGAAATTTTGTCGAAAGCTTTACTGAAGTTAAAGTAGGCTACGTTCATATGTAACTTTTGGTCTTCAAGAGTACACCAGCTTTCACGAGCCACTAATAAGTTGGCGACACAGGAATAATCTATCCTAGAACCATGCTCCTTTTCCGAAAGGATCGGGTTTTCAACGAGATACTTAGACAACTTCCCTGGAATAATTTTCTCCGAAGTTTTAACAACCACGATAGTCACAATAACAGGCCGGAGTTTTCAGGTTTATGTTTCTGTGATAATTAGGAGTATTTGAATAATGGTACGAACTAAGGATCCCAGAAATAATGCAATCGGATCAAGAAGTACAAGATAAGCACGAACGAATGTGCTGTATTTGGAATTCGAAATCAAGCATTCAACAAGTACAAAGGAATTATTAGCTAAATTAAACACCACAGTTTCGTACTTGTTTTAAAGACATGGCGTTCTTCCAGCCTTCTGATAATCGACCCTCAGTTACGGATAGATTACCGAAGAGGTTCTCAACGAAGTTAGCTAGTTCCTTTAGCAACATAGAATGCAGTTCGCTAAGTCCGGTGGATTTGTCCAGATCAACCTCATTTAGCAGGCCAAAGATATCGAGTTTTTTAATGGTCATGTTGCCCAGTGAGTGTGTATGGTGGATTTGTGTGGACTGACGCGAAGGATGTTTCCACGGGATATACACTGCTAAAGGAGCTTGAGAGTACCTGAGCTTTACCATAACCGTCCTCTACTAATAATGATGAATTGCTGTCTCCCCATAGTGCTGGAGTTTTTCCTCTTCCTTTAGCCTGTTGATTTATATATGAATACGAGCGTTTAGAGCGTTCTATAGATGTCTTAACAATTTTTTTCGTACAACCTTCTAGACTTACGAAGTGTCGAAGCACAAGTATTCACAGCTTTCCCATATTGTGGACTCTGGCTCTACTATCCAATCTACTTACAATGCTGAGTGTATAATGTCTTGGATATTTGCTTTCCGGACGTAAGGTCTGAGTTGGGCTAACGTGTGCTCGTTTTTGATAACTATATGAAAGATCCTGAACCCTTTAATTCATGTCCATTCTCTAAAATTATGTGCCGTTCATAAGGAGGTTTAAATACTACGTCAAACAGCCTGGTATGATTTTGTTTCAAGTCCGTTTGGCTACCCAGTCTATGCGTCTTTAACAAGGTGACTCCGGAGATACTCTGAGGCAAAAGCTGATTTTGTAGCTATTCTATCAACATAATGACATGCTCAAAACGACTTCTGGGTTCTGAGCTTTCCACTTCTTTCATCCTATGAAAAATAAATGACCCGTCACTATGATCAGTCTTTACATTCTCGGCTACTTTTTAAGGGGTGGATTTTCTTTAATAGCGTTATGTCGTTTCTTGTTCTCAACCTGTACACAATCATCAACTTTCGTTAGGGTAACGATAACAGTCGCGGCAAACACTGTGGGATTCCGGAAGTTTACTGTCGAGTTCAGTAGTCAGGATGTTTTTCCTGCTACAAACAGATCTAGGCTTGCAATTGGGATTCTTAGGAGTTTCCTGACGAATACCATTTAGAGGACTGGAGGACAGAGGAAACTTCCATTTTTAACATAAAACTCATATGTATTCACATATATTGTCTTTCACCGAAAACCTGAATGATAAATGTAATTTCTTGTTATTAGCGTTCAGTACGGCGTACGGTGATATGTATTTAAGAACCAAAACGATTGAGATTTCCTAACATGATAGGTTCGGAACCGACAACAACCAATTATACTCAACACATCAAACCTTGATGCCTAATATAATAGAAAGGTAGAAGTACGGGCAACTTGAAAT